GACATGCGCCATTTTTCGAAGTGTGCAATTGTTACGGATTTAGTGTGCTTTAGGGGATTCTTGCTGTTCAGGCAGGGGTCCACGCTCTTTTGGCGCTTTTGGCGCAACGGTTTGCGATAAGGCACGCTTTCCCGTGACACATGCATGCACGATAAGAGTGTACAGGAACAGTAGGCACTTCCAGTCTCACCCCACACCTGCCTACCGCAGCAACGATCCGGAACGTCAGCCGACTCGGTTATACTTGCTCCCTTGGGTGGGGGTCACTTCCATGGTTAGAGAGAAGCAAGAGGTGAAGAAGCTTCTTACTGGGCGGGAAATGGCGAGATCGTGGCTTTAGAGCTTGTTCATACCGTACCCAAGCTCTTGGATGTGGCTGAGTGTAGTCTAAGCATAGCATGATATGCACCACAGGCCACCTAGTCCGATTCAAACAAGAAGTTTCGTATTTTTAGCCTTAAGAACTTGGTGGTTTCAGCTGACACCGATCTCCCTGTTCGGTGAAGAAAGTCAGATGTGTCCATGATCATAAATGAGGGCTATGTTATTCACTGACAAAAAGCTATGAGATGCTTCATGGACTTACTATTCGAAGATGCCAGTATATCTGAAGTGCGAGCTTCGCTGTCTCAAAGGAGGTCACTTTATGCACCTTTATTCATTCGTGGTTGCTTACTTCGCCGCTATTAAACGAAGTAAACGCCGCTAGACTTCATACATATTCAACAAGCTAGTTCAGGTTACGACGGGCTAGCGTAGCTGATGGATGCTCAGAGCCTTTTGATTTCTCGGATTCATTCAATGCCCGCTGTTGCATATTCTCGGCCTTCATCTTCTTGCCCTAATCAGCATGATAGCGCCTCAACCATTGAGTGTTAAGTATAGGTATATGTTCGAGGCCTTATGCTTTCACCTTCATCTTCTTGTTTCCATTATCTTACCTTGATCTTGGAACGGTGTGAAAATGGGTCTCCAAAGAGGGCCAACGCCATCATTTCATAACGTGATACTTTGGGTACGTTCTTCGACAACCACAGCGCCAAGGAGGACACCAGGGCGGAGTCACGTGCCAGCCAACAAATCTAGACGCGTCGATCAGCCGCGCTCCCGAATCCTGATGTGATCCCTGCAAGCCAGATCGCGTGGCAGATGATACGTCATTTTCACGCTAATTCTCCTCACGCGTCATGGTCACGATCTCTCCCTCTTCTTATCCACAACAACAACACACTCTCCCTCACCACTCAACATTTCGTGCGACTCGCCAGATTATCTACCATCAAGTTGACAAAACATCAGTACTTTACCATCATCTTCAACAGTACCAACCGCAACCATGACGGAGTGGACCAAGAAGAAGTACAATGAAGCCTACACCGAATACATGCCATGGATAGAAGATAAGGTCCTTGGCTACTGGGGCGAGAACAAGACTAGCTACACCGCCAAAGGTAGGATTACCTTCTCTTCATCTCTCTTCTCCTCTCCCTCCTCACCCCCTCTTTCCCTCCTCTTTCCCTCCTTCCCCTCTCCACCCACCCCGCTAACCCCGCTAACCCCTCTTCTCCCAACAGAGAAGCTCAACACCGACGTCACCGGTGACAAGAACGTCCAAGCCATCCAAGGCGGCATCGCCGAAGGTGTCGGCGGCCAATTCTCAAGCGGTGGTCTGCTAGGTGGGGTCGGAGACATGACGAGCAAAGAGGGGGTCAACCGCGCCGAGAGGGGGGACCCGGGATTGGACCCGAAGGAGTTGGAGAAGTTGAATGCGCAGAAGAAGCAGAAGGGGTGGACGGAGACGCTATCGATGGGGTATATGGGGGGGAGCAAGTAGGGCGGTGGTTGCGGGGCGATAGAGGTAGATGGACAGGTTGTTGTGGTAATTTGGATGAGATTGATCACTCTTGCTTACGAGCTTGTGCGCGTTGGGCTTTTAGGACGACTGGTCGTTGTGGTGGACTAATGTTGGAATGCTTGTACGTCTGTTTGATTTCAGGGTCATGAACAGGCATGCTCAGGATTATAGACATACTGTTGATGCTCTACCTGTTGAAGCATGAAGAGATATTCTGAGCGGCCATTTTCCTGTTGTTTCATTTGTGACTATTAGTTCTATCTGCGTCGTTTGGAATTGTCAAGGTTCTAGTCAGGATGTCCATACTCCCTTCCCAAAACCATATCCGGTACCGCAACATCGCGTCCAAAAGCTTTCGAAAGGTGACGAATTGCCAGTATGATACGCTCATGGCGATCCACATTTCAGACCAGATGTGGCAAATGGCCGCTCTAATATGGCAAATCCACGGCTATAGATCGTGATCACATGTCATCCAAAGCTCAGCAAAGATAGAATTTGACAAGCGTCCATGAGCTCTCCCTGCACAACTATGCCCATCTCGTTTCCAATCGAGCGGGAAGACCATCTGACAAGAGTCACACTCCTCCAAAGCGCCATTTCTCTGATTGAGGAAGGCCCAAGAGAGAACTTCACTTTCGAACCGTCATTTGCGCCACCAGGCTATGGCGAAAAAAAGTCCGACAGCTACCAATACGGCTACGAAAAGTTTCCGCAAAATCGACATCGGATCGTAAGAGCTGTCCGATCGGGGGGAGGGGCGGTGCGTAGGTAAGATCGCGCGGGTCTCATGCCTCCGCGCTTCACGCCTTTGGGCAAGGTATCGGTCCACTTCCGCTGCTGCACCCCTCGCGCGAGCGAGCCACGGCTTGCAGGGTCGAGGTGGCCGTCGGTGCTCGGACCAAGTATCTCGCGGGCTCTGAAATTCGGCGCGGTGGCACGGTCGGTCGGTTGATGGAGCCGTATTGGGCGAGGCTGTTTGCTTTCATGGACTCTAGAAGATCCCACCCGGGCGAATAGGTGGTGGATGGATGGAGGGGGCTTTGGGGCGCAACTGATGTTCCGCGTCCCAACGGGGCCTCTGAACCAATGTACTCGAGCAATTTTGCAAATGAGTCTGGCCTGAGTCTGAACCGTTCACCCGTCCTTTGCTCTCGGTAGTGGCGCTGCAGCAGCGCCCATTCGATCTGACGGGGGGACTCGGTGTTGACATAGCTCATTTTACGAAGTTCGATATCCTGGTCAAGAAAAAGCAGGATGCCGTTGTCAGGGTGGACAGGAGATGGGTGTATTGGAAGGTGAGAGGCACGGATACGCGGTATGGAAGAGTGTTCGTTAAGACTCTTGCCACCGAAAGAGGTGAGCTATCACAATTAGTATGCACTGAGAACATAGTGCTTCCAACTGAATCATTGGAGACTTACAATGAGCACAACAGCCTTTCTTTCGCGCTGGTCAGTGGAGAGAATCACGACAGGATGGTCAGAGCAGCCATCGGGGATTTCAGAACCCGAAAGCGAACAGGGCTCGTCATCTCGCCGTTTTGGTAAATAGGAGAGTTGGCCAGGGATAAAGACTTCTGCTTCAACGTTAATTGCAGTAGGCATTGGCAAGGCTTCGGGCTCTCGATAACAGTTGGCGCAGAGTTAAATGGGATTGAAGTAAAGAGCAGCATTTGTTATATAAGTAGATGAGATATTCGCTCGTTGAGAGTATGACTTGGCTATTTGAGAAACATGTTTTGGCATCCGAGCGCCCTGCCCCACCTGTGGCCGAGGCATCCTGCAGCAACCAATCATCGAGTGCACTCATGACGTCGCAGAGTGGCTCGTAAAAAGAAGCGCTCGCAGTACATCAGGGTTTGGAAGAAGACGTGGAGAAATCATCACCAAGACTTTCAATGAAGAAGCTTTACGCTATGTTTCCCAAGCGGCGCTTTGCACCTAGCTTTGTATTTTTGTCTTCTTGTCTACCTCAGTAGGGGTTTCGATACCTAATCACTCGACATTGATAGGTCTAATCTTGTAGCTGATTGGGGTGGATTGGTACTAGTACCTTGCATTTACTCTGTTTCGCACAGAGTACATGTTGGCAAATAAAAATGATACTGACTTAGAATCTCACGCTATCACACTTGCGTCGTCGATTAATCGGTCTGTGTTCCTCAAAACCGTGACAATATCCGGGCCAGTGATTTTGATTTTCTTTTCTTCCAACGTCTAGAACTTTTATATAGATCTTCATACTCTATCGATCTACCGAATACGTTTTTATGAATTGATATATGAATTTAGAGGTAGCTAGGTAAGATGGTTTCGCGATTAGCCAAATAGCCCAAGCTACTGAAACCTTATGAGGCCTTTTGTATCTTTGCGCCCGGGCCGTTTTCCGAGCCTCTTCTGTCACGCGCTTGACAGCACGCGCATTGGCGCAATCTTGCATCTCCATAATGTTGATAGAGTTGAGACCATATAAGGTACCTCTGATGGGCCAAGCCTTCTTCCAAGCCTCCGTGATGAGCAGCCAATCTGCCAGGCGGAGTTATGGCCATAGAAATGTGAAGGGTTTTGGACTGACCCACCAGTCCCAAGACACTGTGAGACGTGGTCCCAACCTCAAAAGAAGCATGTGTTCGATGTCATAATCATAGAAAGGTATGGTGTACAAGTCAGTTGCATCGGTCTTGCGCTTAAGGCCAAGACTCGTGACCTTCGCTTGCAAGGCAAGAATCTGCAGCCAGCCATTGGCTGCTAGGCTCCGAATCACTCCCACACGAAAAGAGGGGTTTCCTTGGTACCTGGGCCTGCTTTTCGTAGCGGTGGCGGCCTACCCTGCTAGCCAGGTAAGCCTTATCAATGAAATGAACACCAAAGATATATTCGTCAAGAAAGCGATGCTATCCCTTTCCTGGGAGGGCCACGCTAGTAGGAGGGGATTAGTGTAATTCCGGCCGTCTTGGCATCAAAACTGTAGTTAATCTAGGTCTAGAGAAGAAATCGAGCCCGCAAATACAAAACCCGAAACCGAAGTTCTGCCGCTTTTTTATAAAATGACAATTATGTATAGCTTCAAAATATCTTCATGTAACAACTACATATTCAATACACTACTTAATGGTTCAGGTACTGGGTCCATTCCGGCATGCTCTTCTGCATCTTATATACGGCAACTTATTGGGCATTCCAAACCGCCAGCATAATTGAATGCAACACGCCACAGAGTCTGGACATCGCAATCTGTGCCAACGGTGACATTACTACCGTTATAGTTACCGTGATCAATGTCGTGGCCGATTTTTATGTTCTCGCTTTGCCTATTGGAATAGTCGGACGACTTAATGTTAAACGTACCAAGAAACTTGGCCTTATAGCCGTCTTCCTGTGCGGTCTTATGTATCCACCCCTGCTCATACTACTAGACCATTGGGGTCTTTGGCTAACCTCCTTCGAATAGCGCAAGTCTTGCAAACGTCGCAAAACTTATTTATGCGACTTTGCATCTCAATGACCAAGATTCCGCTGCATTAACGACTGAATTCGCGTGAGTCACCCTTCCTGGCTGTTCCATCCAAGGGTACTGACACCACAAGTATCGTCGAGATGAACCTTGGCACCATCGCGGCCTCTATGCCAGCACTGCCGCAATTCTTTGCTAAAGCCCGGATTTTCCATGCCTCCACTTATAGCTTTTTGCATCGCTTACTCAACAGACGTGACCCGTCATCCCTCTCCTGGTTCGGTCAGTCATCGAAAAATCTGGCTTCGGGGTACCCAGAAAGGCAGCGTGGTCCTGCTGTTCGAGGTGAGAACCAGACTGAACTACAAAGCTTGCCCGATGTACGAGCATACAGTGATACACGAGGACCGACGTGAGTCATGATGACGTTGCCCTCGGCGGAGGACTTGCGCAGACAGAGAATTCGCGGGGGGTTTTGAACCTTACTGTCTGGTGTAAAAGAACAAGGTCTTGACCATTCGTGGCGATCCCTGAGAACGTTGTGTCAATGGACCTCGGGTTGGTTGACACCTTGAGCACTTAGAAACCCCAGGTGCTTTTCAATAAAGTTGCCTGAAGCAGATACCGTGGACCAAGTTCCATCTCTGAAATATTTCTCTATAATCACCTCACGAGCTTCTCGTGTCATTGTGCCACGTTCTTAATTGGAGTCCGCCGTATGGCGCCGTCTTTCTAGCGGACGAGGCTCGGGGTGTCGTTACACAAACACACTGGATACTCTTTGACCAATAGAACAGGATTAGCAAGATTAGCTAGCAGTCACGAGACTCCATCTGACGTGCCCACTACATCGTCATGCTTATCCATCGTTCGCTATTTTTTTCCCTACGGGCTTCGATGTTCTCAACTCCATAGCCATGCAGGGGCGGCAACAGCCAGTAAATTCCAGAGATATTCCCTAACTCATGCCTATCTCCCGCCACAATCTTCGTGCGAGAGTCAGCTTTGCGGCTTGAGCTTGGACTTGCAATAATATGAAGACGGCTCGCTACACAATTACTAGTGGCATTCGTCATGGAAAGGGGGGGAAGATCAATTTGAGATAGAAATAGAATCATGCTTGATACTTTTCGCATACGCTGCTCCGGCTGCTTCCATGCCGTGTCAAGGGTATCGGCGCTTTTTGATTCCTGGATACAGGTAGCCGGTATTATGAGGGCCATGCGTTTGGTGATGGGAGACACAGGAGCCGATATGAGGCAGTGGGCTGAAGGACTAAAAGGAGATGCTTGGGATTGGGGTGGGGAGTTGAGAGACTGTTGCTGCCGTGAAGGGGCAAGCGGGTTCTTCAAGGCTGAATTTCGAGATTTATGTGTCCGGAAAAATGGTGTAGATGTGATAAATCATGTTAGCTGGTGTCCATTCGGGAGCTTCAGAGGTAACTTGAATCGCACGTAGCCCGGAGTCATGTTCAGACGACTGGACGACAAAATTGTCCTCCACTGAGAGCCAGTTTCCAGAGGACATGTAAATCGATCTCGCTTCCGGAGACGCAGAAAGCTTCTCCAACGCCTCAGCATCGCACAAATCCCAATCATACCCTCCCGACTGCATCCACAACGCCTTCAGCTCCAGAACCGGGTTATGCGGCTGCCGCTGTCTGGTCAAACTCATTCTGATCTGCTCAACGATGCCCACATTTGCGGCATTGTGATCAGGCTCCACGACGGCCAGATTTGGACGGCTACCGTCAAAAGATGCAAACAATGGACCGCGTCCTTCGGACTTCCATTAAGGGCTGTCGATGACATTGATGAAGCCGCAAAGGTGCAGCTCGCGGCCGTGGCTCTCGGGTATCAACGCAACGGTGGGGAATTGGTCAACGAGGAAGCTGCGTTTCTGGCGGTGTTGGAGTTGCAGCTTCTGGTGCGCTATGCATGAATGTGGGGAGGGAAGAGGAGCGTAGATAGCGAAAGTAGCTTCGTAATCTGCAAGTTCCAACTCGCCTAGGAAAGTGGCTATGCCGATGAAATCGTCCTTAGTATTGGTGGTGGTGGAGTAGACCTACCACGAGAATCGCGGTAGCTTAGCACTGTCATCTCCTTTCCGTATGCCTTGAAAGGGACGACCTTGATGGTCGTGGGAAATTGTCGAGTGCCACTCCCGCTTTGGGCGTGGCCGTGTTTCATCTCGGTCATAGGTCCGTGCAACTTGTTGAGTGCCTGGCATTTTCTACCAGACACAAAAGTATGACCTTTGGGTTAGAGCCGGGAATTAAAACCACTTGCGCTTGAAACACGTAAAACATCTAGTCCAAAATACTATACTTGATCCTGTCTCGTGGTTCATTATGTTGTGACGTCCAGGTTTGACACCCTCAGTAAGGACGCCTCAACGATTGATAAGCCGAATTTTGACGCTATTATATCGCGCGCATTTGTGTTGCTGGTAAATTCGCATATAATGGAAAGGAGCAGCAGTGTTTTTGAAAGCTCGAAGAAAGTCGCCAGTAACAGATCGCGTTAAGCCAATCGTGAAACTCGTTGCGAAACGGAGAAGGAAAAGCAAGATCGATCAACCAATCCCAAGATACACTCAAAATCCGAACCAGGTCAAAGCGAAGCCAGCGTAGTATGTCATACAACATCGAAGATGAACAGGGGTAAGTAAGTTGCTTTTGTGCGGCATATTCTATTTTCTTAACCCGGAGGTATACTAGGATATCGCACCTTTCGCTCGCTAGGATCTGCAGCCACTTTTCGCCCACCGTTCTGGCATCATATGGAGCCTTGGTATTCGCGAAGAGCTCGTCCAGGAGTGTTCTATTACTTGAGAGAGCCCGTGGATAGGTTTCTTGGTCATGGTCCGAATGAGCGACAGCTGTGGCCCACAAGGGTGCATGGAGATTCAATCCGTGGCGTAGCAGTGTTCGAAGAAACGGCTCCCGTTCTGGCGAATTGGCCTAGCACGGATTTATCTTGTTATTCTTATAATACTGGGCGTACTGCGACCACATGTACTTCGCGCCTTCCAGCGATCCTTCGTGGTAATCAAACACGGGGCAGAAAGCCAAGTCGTCATCATCTGCAAATTGTAGGAGCATTCTAAGGTGTAAATCTTTCGCTTCGTAGTTCCTGCGCTGTCACACCTCGATGTGTGGAACCCCACTACTCTGAATGGTTTGCTATTGACCGATATAGCGAGTTCACATTCGGATCTGAAAGGCTACTTACATATTGGGCCATAAGATGGTGGGCTCAGATTCTCGGCCTTATTGAAGCAGCCAAGAGCACAAATCGGGCCTGTGCACCCCGCGGCGACCTACGTAGGAGTAGCTCCCATTTGACCCGGTAGTATGAAGCATGTTATAGTCTGACATGAAAGAGGGTGAATTCATATTGATCTACTGGGAACGGCGATAGTTGTCCATTGGTGAATGCGGTTTGTAGTCTTTGAATGACGCCGTTTCTACACATGTCCTCTGCTTGTAATAGAACTAGCGATAAAGAGCTCATCACAGGATATGTTCTTATGGACCTTGAGACTCGGCCGAAAGAATCTGGCGCCCGTAGCTTCAAAGCGTCTTTCAGGAAAGATGGTCTGATAGAAGAGATACTATCCTCATATACAGGGGAACTCCGACGATCCTAAGAATTGCCAGTGATTTTTGACTTAGCGTCAACAATGATATTGCACAAAATAGCTTGTTATCATACTTCACTCTTTTTGTGTTTGACTGTGAAAGAACTAGCTCCTTTGAATTCCACCAGAGGCGGATGTGATGCCGCTGGGGTACCACAGTCTTTCGAATGGTAGACTGTAGATTCCTTGTTTGACCCAAAACATCAACGTGGGACTTGATGTCCTGCTCCAATTCTGTGACCGGCAACTATGCTGTGCAAGCAGCAGAATCCTTTGTGAGACTGGCGCAAGTGGTTTGGACTTGATGTACACTCATGACTTTTAGTACTCTTCACCTACGTAAGCTTCTGGATACTTACTCAAGATTGTTTGAATTGATCATGGGAGCGGTCAGCAAATCCCACGTAGACTCTCTGAGCTGAATCTGGAATTTCCGAATCTGATCCTTCTCCGTCAAAAGTTTCATGGCCGCCAATCTCCTTTGCATGAGGCTTTGGTAGTTCAAGGAGATTGTGAACACGTCCACTAACTTTGCAAGCACTCCAAATCTGCTTTCGCAGACTTTCATTGCGCTGCTGATGCGCTGCGAATTGGGTAAAAGTGCACAAGAAGTCTGTTGATGAACGAAGGCCTGGACTTCTGCCATGTTTTGCTGTACCTGGTCGAGAGTCAGCAATCTCAAGTAATTCTCTTCGTGCATCGTGAAGGCTGCGTACGAACTTGCTGATATCGTAGGCAGTTGCTATGAGCTGAACCACTGCAGAAGCGCCAGATACGCCATCCCTAGCGCTATCGTGAAAGTACTCAGACTACAGTTGGTAGTCCTGTCTGTCTTTGGAAGGGAGATCGATGTTTGAGAGACCGTGGAGGGGATAACGCTGCGCTAAGGCATTTAATCTTGAAATTACCAGCAGAGCGGCTCTTTTGCCGGTACGAAATTCTGGACTCAACAACAAACAGATGAGCGATAGACAATTGCATTCTGATTCGGCAAACCAGTGTCGTGGGATCTACCCATGCAGCGGCATCCACTCATCATCGCAAACGAATCCGAACTTGCAGAAACACTGGCTCTTTCAGGAGAAGTGACCATAATTTGTACTGTGGGCATCTTCGAGGGCAGAAAGCACACAGCCTGCCAGGCCACGTTACCGAAAGCATAACGGATTACGCCAGCGCGAGAGCCTGGTACGTCATGGAACGGCAGACTTGATGCACATGATTTATGAAGGAGAGGGGAACTCAAGGCTGAAAGTAATTGACGATGCTCTCCCGACTAACGAAGAACGGAGTGGTACTGCGTATAAGGTCGAAAGAAACCAGAAATTTGATTTGCCTTTTCAAGACAACTCGTCCACCAATATGAGGATGCCGAGAGAAGGCAAGCGGAGATCCAAATCAGAACACTGAAGTCTAAGGTCATGTATCATCGGATCCATCCCGACGAGATGCTCATGGATTGATTTGGTCAGCCGAAGTGTGGTGCTGCCCAAATAAATCCTGCTCTGACAACAGGATGAACTGAGCCCAGCGCCAAATTACCCAGTCAGATCTATTCCCTGGCTGCACTTTCCTTTCAGCACCTCCTGGGATTCATTAGTTGCTGTAAAGTATTAGGTTCCAGCTCAGCTCACATGAAGGTCAGGCTGGAATCCCGCTCTGATTGAGAGGAATAAGCTACGAGAGAATGACGACTTTGGGTATCATGGGAGATTGAAGCAAGAGTCATGTATAGATGGTGAAAGCCCCAGTGATAATCATACAGTTCAGGCGCGGTCCCCAAAAAAGGGTGACAATCATCACAAGGTTTCCCTAGATATTGTCATATGTGTTACCTGCAAGGAAACGTTTTCTATGCACTTATACCTTTTGACTCAAATATCCTATGACATGTAGAGCGCAATCTGTCTTGGTCGACATCCCAAAAATATGCGCAAATGAAAGGTCACATGTGAGATGATAGGGCTGCTAGCGCCGATCTGGGGACAGACTTGGCGCCCAGTCTCGTACCAATTGGTGCCCGCCTTTTACTTCTCTCGACGCTTTGACTTTCGAAGCAAATCACTTCGGCTCGACATCCAGATGGGAGACAGCGGGGGAGGCACCGAGGTCACATACGATTCGCTGGAGCATGTCCTGAGGAATGACACCAAGGTCAAAGTCGCCGGCATCGACATCGATGGCGTCCTCCGCGGCAAGCTCATGTCCAAGAAGAAGTTCCTGGGGATCGCAAAAGATGGCTTCGGCTTCTGCTCCGTCATTTTCGGCTGGGACATGCACGATCAGACATACTTCAAGGAATTGAAGATCAGCAATGCCGAAAATGGGTACCACGACATCATTGCCGTGCCGGACTTGAGCAGCTTCAGGAGAATACCTTGGGAGGATGATGTGCCCTTCTTCCTCGTCAGCTTCCTCGATCCGGACCATCGAGGTCCAATCAGTGCCTGTCCGAGAGGTCTGCTCAAGACCGCGGTCGAGAAGTTGGAAAAGCAAGGCCTGGGGGCGATGGCTGGAGGTGAGAGATCTGGACCCACTACGGAGATCATTGTGCACGGGAAGTCCTGACTTTGTGCTGCCGGACTCCGCTGACCTGGCACCCGATAGCTGAGTACGAGTTCTTCCAGTTCAGAGCGCCTGTCAACAACGCGATAGATCCCAAAGAACGCAACTCGTCATCTACCGCAAAGTTCCTTCAGGAGAACTCGCACAACGCGCTTCCACCTCTCACAGAAGGCATGTTTGGCTACAGCCTGACGAGGCCAGTCCATAATCAAGAGTACTACTATGGCATCTACGACGCTTGCGAGAAATTCGGGTGCGGGATTGAAGGCTGGCATACTGAAAGTGGTCCTGGGGTCTTTGAAGCAGTATGGAAGCCTTCTATTCACCATAGACCCCGAGCTCATGATTATTCCAGGCCCTCGAATTTGGGGAGGTCAAGCAGATGGCGGATAAAGCTGGGCTGTTCAAGTCGGTGATGCCCCGAGGCCCTCCACATTCCCGCACTGCTGAGAACCATTCAGATACGTCGTCAAATCCTTGGGCAGTAAATTTGGTATCACCCCCTGCTTCATGGCCAAACCCCGAGAAGGCCTTCCTGGCAATTCTGGCCATATGCACCTGTCGATCGTTGACAATTCAGGCAAGAACATGTTCTATCGCGGGTCGAAGGATCCCCACCCTCCATATCAGGACCTTGAATACCTCTCTGATATGGGACGTCACTTCCTAGCTGGTCTATTAGATGGATTACCAGATGTCATGCCTATTGTTGCGCCTACCATCAACTCTTACAAGCGACTCGTCGAGAACTTCTGGGCCCCTGTGACCGTATCGTGGGGACTGGAGCATCGAGCTGCTTCAATACGACTGATAGCGCCACCGACCGCAAGTGCAAAGGCTACGAGGTTCGAAGTACGTGTTGCCGGCGCGGACGCCAATCCCTTCCTCGTGCTGGCAGCCATTCTCGCCCTCGGTTGGCGCGGCGTGGAGAAGAAGCTGGAGATCAAAGTGCCGCCTCTGGGCAAGGGGCAGAATGTTGGAGGTGCATCAGATCAAGGGGTGCGCCTTGCAAAAGGATTGAAGGAGGCTACGGTGCAGATGATGAGGCGGGAGAGTGTGGCCAGGGAAGTCTTTGGGGATGAGTTTGTGGAGCACTTTGGAGGCACGAGAGAACATGAGATCAGGCTATGGGACGAAGCCGTCACTGATTGGTGAGTGTAGCATGCAAGAGGCTTGCACAAGTGCTGACACAACAACGCAGGGAATTCAAAAGATACATTGAGACGGTTTGAAGACGAGGTGTTAAGCCTGAGTCGTTTTGATCACGTCCTTGAGTCTCTATTTCGCTTCTGATTTTCTTGGGAGTCGTGGAATCCATGTTTGGGTAGTTCAAGGCTCCGATGATACCCTGACAGGCGTCCAGGCGACCAATTGATAAGTAGGTACTTTGTGCGAAAAAGATCGAACGGTGCGCGACATGAAGCTTGATGCAAGGTCCACTTAATGATCAGATGTGCTTTTGTGCTTGGTTTTCAATTGAGCTCTCTGCAGCAGTCGGATCAATGATGTCGGAGACATAAATCGTACATTCCGCCGCCAACCGATTCGTCATCATTACCCAAGACCTTAGTCAGAAAAAAAAAAGACAAAATACCGCCTTTCGGAAGTGGACTATGCCTTTTTATTTTTACCCCTCCATTCAAACTCCGGTTCTTTTGGTGGGGTATTGACTTTCCTCCAACAACAACAATTCCATTCCGACTTAAAATCTCTCACTCCTACAACTACTCTTCCTAACCTCTCAAACATCAACTTTGCAACCTCCCATTTCCCTCTCTCTCTCTCTCCCTCGCTCCCAAGGATTCAAACTCCAGCCTTAAACCTCACGACCTCATCAAAGCAAGTCAACTGATTGACAACCGCCATCATGCCCATCGAACCCCCCAAATCCGACTCCCTCAAGGAGCTCTTCAGCCTCAAAGGCAAAGTCGTCGTCGTCACCGGCGCCTCGGGCCCCACCGGCATCGGCACCGAAGCCGCGCGCGGGTGCGCCGAAATGGGCGCCGACGTCGCCATCACCTACTCCTCCCGGGCCGAAGGCGGGATCAAGAACGCCAAGGAGCTCGAGGAGAAGTACGGCGCCAAGGCCAAAGCCTACAAGTGCGACGTGGGCTCCTACGCCGACGTGGAGAAGCTGATCAGCAGCGTCATCGCCGACTTCGGGCGCATCGACGTCTTCATCGCCAACGCGGGCCGGACGGCCGACGCCGGCATCCTGGACTCGAGCGTCGAGGCGTGGAACGAGGTCATCACGACGGACCTGACGGGCACCTTCAACTGCGCCCGCGCCGTCGGCCTGCACTTCCGCGAGCGCAAGACGGGCTCCCTCGTCATCACCGCCAGCATGTCCGGCCACATCGCCAACTACCCGCAGGAGCAGACGTCCTACAACGTCGCCAAGGCCGGCTGCATCCACCTGACCAAGTCCCTGGCGAACGAGTGGCGCGACTTCGCCCGCGTCAACTGCATCTCCCCCGGCTACATCGACACGGGCCTCTCCGACTTTGTCGACCAGAAGGTCCAGCAGATGTGGCATGACATGATCCCGCTCGGCCGCGACGCCAAGGCCAAGGAGCTCAAGGGCGCCTATGTTTACTTGGCGAGCGACGCCAGTTCGTACACGACGGGGGCTGATATCGTCATTGATGGCGGGTACACTACGAGGTAGACGGTGGCGGTGCTGCTGCTGCTGATGCTCATTGCTTGGCATGACTTGATCTGCATCCGGACTGGATGGTGGGTTGAGGAGGATCAAGATGGCAAATTGCACGTGGACAGATAGAAAATGAAAATCCGATCTACGCCCATTGTCCTCTCCCCATGCTGTGCAACTGCTACTCCTCCCCGTATACAAGGGTCACCTCTAGCTTGCGGATCCTCAAGTCAAAGAGCCAGAAACCTTGCTCTCGTGGTCCAAAAGTATATGCACAGCCCGTCATGCATGGTAATCATCGTAATTTCCCAATCATTACCAACGCGACACATCAGTTGATGATTCCATTGAAAGGGAACCTATCACATCAGTGCTTGGTAGAATAATAGCAGTATACGTTTGAAACATCAGGTCAATGTCAAAGCTTACTAGACAAGCATTGAATCATCAAATGAGTGAATTAATCTCCTCATGTATGTACATAGCTAGTTCGAATGGCTTGCAGATGCCTGTCCCTGCCCACCATCACATTTTCAGAGCCTAGCTTTTCCCGTCGTAAATCCATCACTGTACCAAAGTCAGGTCAACTCTCCGGTATATCCGCCACACCCGTAGAACGGACTCAACACACTCACGAACCTTCCACATACTCACAGATGCTGGTGGTAAAAGTCGAGCAGCACTTGATAACCACGCTCATACTCCTTCTTGACCTTTTCATCCTCGAGGTCGCCTCGAGCGGCCATCCATCCGTGGATCTGGTCGCTAAAGGTCTCAATGTGGTTCTCCACACTCAACGTCTTCCCAAACTCCTTGACCGCATTCGCGTCTTCGTCGCCGGATGCGAGCATGCAGAGGGGAACCTTGATGCCCTTGGCGTCGGCCGGGTCGACCATTGCGGGGTGAACTTCGGCGACGGCGGAGAAGGAGGTGCCGGGTTGAGCGGTCAGGGAGACGATCTGTCGCACAAGATCAGTCATCCACGTTCAAAGACCAAGGACAGGAACACCACGGAAGCATCTCACCTTCCCGCCCCAGCACATGCCCAAACTGCCCCACTTCTTGATCCCCGTCGCCTGCTTCTCAATCTCCCGCAGCAACCCGGGCACCTTCTTCGCCGTATCCGGCGGGCTCGCGGGGCCCGCGAAGAAATCTCCAACCTTCTTCTTCTTCTCGTCCGTGTCGGGCGGGAAGTCGCTGTGCGGGAGGGGTTCGCCGAGGAAGAAGTCGGGCATGAAGACTTGGTATTGGTGGCCGGAGTCGGCGTGGGCGAGGATGTCGGCGCCTTGGATGGCTTGGGGGGAGAAGCCGAAGATGTCGTAGATGATGAAGATGGCGGAGGAGGCGTTGGAGGGGCCGGTGGCGTAGCACTGCATGCCGTTGAGGTCGATGTATTTGCCCTTCTCCTTGTAGCCCTTGGAGACGGCGGGAGGGACATTGCAGCAGGCCTTGCTGTGTCCTTGTTGTGCTTCCATGATGGATTTGTATCTGTGCGGTACTGTAATTGCTCTGAGTGTGAACCGGGGTTTCAATGAGATTAACGGTTGAAGAAGGGTGGGGAATGGCTTATATATCATGGATTTGTCTCCGTTCGAACGCCGTTCAATCCCAAACAATTATTGGCGGGGTTTCCAGATTGCCAAACGTCATCGAAAAACGACGGAAATAACCATCTCAATTACCGAAGCTAGAGTAGCGTCGATCTTAGGGCTAGGTCTATACGAGCCACTCGGGGCCATCCTTTCCGCCGTCTTGATGTCCAAACTTCATCATTCTCTACCAACCTTGCCTTAAGATAGTGGCCTATGATAACATATTAAAGTAAAGAATGGTAAAGTGCCCTTGTCATTCTACCATTTCTGACAGCTCTTCCTCAAATCCATCGCAGGTGTTACATGACATTTTTGGAGCTTTCTTTTTGGTGAATAGCCTTCCTAGACGGCGTTGTTCGGTTTCTACTATGTTCGTTAACGTCTTTTAACATCTCATAATGAACTGTTGCCTCAAGAATGCATCGATTCCGGTTGTTGATCCCCAATATGACGTTCAGCATCTCCGACCTAGATAGACTTCATCTCCACTCCACTGGTGCGAGGCCACTATAGAGTTCAACCTACGCTTCAAAGTGGCTCTGGGTTCCTGCGTAGCTTGCTTGTTGGACTCAGAAATTGGCGACAAGCACAGCTGTCATCCCAGAAATCAGTTCAAAGACTATGAAGATCTGGAGTCTTTATTTACTCAATGTCATCATCGGCCGAAGATATTCTGAGCTTGGTCAATGGTAATGACGCCCTCATACTGATCCTGCTGCAATAACAACCAGCTGAAAGTACACGACGGCCGAACTACATCTAAAGGGGAATTGACAAATCTATGGTTATGCAGCACTCTAAGGAAAAGCTTGCCGCCCCGCTGAAAATGTGCCTGCGATAGATGCATCACATCGCAATGGACTTAAACAAATTCATTGACGCGAGTTGCTGACAAGACATTCGTTTCGGTGCTGCTGCATACTAACCGACCGAACAATACCACCAAACCACATTACGCGCCTGAGGGGGCCACGCTCGATCCAATCCCACCATTCTCGAGGTCGAGATCGAGACACTAAAAATGTCGTTTAATAGTGAAGTGCTCTTCTGTTCCTGAAAGCCAAGACTGGACTGAAATCAAGATGGCCCAGGATGTTGAAAAGGGGAGCCCCGAACAAAAAGCATCATTTCACAAACTCTGCTTCACAATTCCGAAACGTTTCCTCCTGAACAGTAACATAAATTTTGCAGCTTCCGCCGCTTTGAACGCCTCTCATCACCGTACTGCCAAGCCTCAAGGGGCCAGTTGCCCAAATGCCAAAACATTACATTTCTAGTCTTTCGTCTTGTGGTGAGGCAGCTGGGGACGATGGGGATGGTGATGGGGATGAGGATATGAATGATGATGGTGGTGTTCAGCAGGAGGTAGAGGCGTAGTCTCCGGGGGTGCGGGCGGAGGCTGTGGCGGTGAAGGCGTAGGCTCTGGTGGTGGTGGAGGTGGAGGTGGAGGTGGAGGTGGAGGTGTGGGTGTGGGTATGGGTGAGGGTGAGGGTGCGGGTGAGGGTGCGGGTATTGGTGCATAAGGCGGTGGTTCAGGGGGCGGGCCCTGGGGTGGGGCCGGCGGGTTCGCGTTCGAAACCCGTTCTCGTTCCACATCTTCCATATCTTGGAGCCTATCAATTTCTTCTCCCACGCGACGCACGTCCGACCGGAATTTCTCTCGATCCACCCCCTTTGGAAGCTTCCCCTTTCTGAGCTCTCTAGTCGGCGTTCCTCGATAGTCGACAAGATCACCGTTGTGATCGAAGTTCCAATCGGTCAACGGCTGGTTTTGAAGACCTACAGCTGCCGCCTCGGCGTCCTTGAAGTATCGAAGTCGCTGGCTCCAAACATCCTCGCCGTATTTGGTGACGTAGACTATCTTGGCGTCAAGCGGCAACGTTCGATATCTCCCAGGGACCAGGCGGACAAGGTCCAAGTGGTCAAATCGACCTTGCAGATGTAACGCTTTTGGAAGTGGTGGTAACTCGTTAGCAAGTCTGATTGATTCTTCGGTCGCTGGAGGAGGCGGGTCAGGTCCTGGTGGCGGGTCAGGTCCTGGTGGCGGATCCGGTGCGGCAGGCGTGTTGGGACCGGAAGGTGGGTTTGGATCTGAAGGCGGATTTGGTATCGACGGAGGATTTTGTCCCGGTGGCGGATTTGGATCTGACGGTGGGATTGGATCTGACGGTGGGTTTGGATCTGACGGTGGGTTTGGATCTGACGGTGGGTTTGGGTCTAAAGGCGGGTTTGGATCTGATGGCGGATTTGGTTGTGACGGAGGATTTTGTCCCGGTGGCGGATTTGGATCCGACGGTGCCTCAGGTCCTGAGGGCGGATCTGATCCGGGAGGCGAGCCTGGCCAATCTATACAAAATGGAATCCCAATACAGGGATGGGGTAGAGAAGGAATGCCCTGTGACTGGTTAGCAGACTTCTCATTCCAAAACATAGCAGTCGACCCTACCTCACTACTCCAGATACTCTCCCCACTCTCTTCAACGGCGCGGATGCTGTTCACCTGCTCTGTGGTCAGTATGCCAGGGTTTCTACCCTGTTCCATCAAAATTCTCCTCTCGCAGAACAAATCCCAATCTCTTTGCTGCCTCGAAAGCTTATCCAAAAATTCGACCCGTTGGGCCCTTTTAAGAGAACGCGCTATGCTGGCAGCACTCTCGCCAGGTTTCTTCTTCGCCAGCTCTCCAAGAAACTGCCTCAGTGCCACTCCCATTCCTGCTCCGCCTACCACTGAAGGAACGATGATCTCGGCGAGTTTGGCAATATGATCATTGGCTGGCGGCGCGCCAGGTGCAAATGTAGCTATGCTAGGCTTGGTCGCCGAAGGTAAGTGGCCCTTGGATTTGGCTATGCTAGGCTCAGTCGCCGAGGGTACGGGGTCCTTGGACTTGGCTATCCTGGACTCAGTCGCGGAGGATGTAGGGTTCTTGCGTCTGGTCGAGGACGGAGCTATGCTAGACTCAGTCACCGAGGATGAGGGGCCCTTGGAGGTCGACGACGTTGCCGTGGATGAGGAGTTCCTGGAGGTCAACGACGCTGCCGTGGATGAGGGGCCCTTGGAGGTCGACGACGTTGCCGTGGATGAGGAGTTCCTGGAGGTCAACGACGCTGCCGTGGAATTGGCAGAGACAAACCGGGTCGTGGTTGTAGTTGTCGAAACGATAGCGGTAGCATTGGCAGGCCCAGGCGATGATATCCAGGGTAACGTGATGGACTTCGAGGCTGTTATTGCACCTGAAGTCGTGTTCAAAGCTAGGCTGCTGGTGGTGTCGAGCGAGGTGGCCGTTCGAGAGGCAGAGACTGATGCGTTGGTAAGTCCAGTAGTTGAAGAGATCAGGGTGAAGGCAGTACTAGCAACTTGGACGGACAGTGTCGAAGCAGAAGCTACCATCCAGGGGTTCAGCGATATACAGACATTGAGGATGAGGGCCCCAAAGCGGAAGTCATTCATGAGTACCATCATGGCAGGTCTCCGGAGCGCTTGTGATATCAGTTACTGCGGTCTTGGGCGCTGATGAGACTACGATAGAGCACTTCAGAAGCCTGCAGCTTTTGCTACCACGTAGGAAGGAAAAGATGGTGAAAGGTGCTTAATGAGATGAAGAGAATTGGAACTTTGAACAAGGAAAATGATCTGGAACAAACCGCAAAAAAGTGCCCCACACAGGTCATTCCAGGAAATCGTCGTGTTCCGATAAGCTGAGTGTCCAGCCGCAACACATAAGAGGAGATATCAACAATCTGCAACACATTTGCAATGAAAGGTCCAATCACGATTCAGTTCCAAGCCATGATGTCGTAAAAATGGGTAGTCAGGAAGGAATTCTCAGGACTGTGGGGATTACATTGAGGCAATATGAGCAACATAAATGATCCTTATCGAAGCTTTCCCACAGATCGTCCTATCGACCGGCTCACTCCAGGCCTCTGACGGATTGCCATAGGAACCTCAGCGACCGTGCGCAGATGTGGGTTCTTCGGGTCTCGCATTGAGATGAAATGCGCAGGGAAAGACTCCACTCCTTTGATGATTCCTGCGCCATCAAGTACCGCTGGCCTTCTTATCGGACCTCGATTGTAAAAGGACATGTTGTAGTAGTATAATGTGCAGGACCTTTTCAGAATAGCAAATGCCTGATACCCACGGGATGAAGCAAGTTTGGAAACAATGACTGCGCAGTGACAAGGCACAGACGGTAGCAAGAAATTTCGCAATGTTGTCCAACAACATTAACTTTTCAAGAATGGAAAGTAGCTTGAAGTAAAGATTGATTGCAGTTATAGACGTGGACACTTTGCGAGTAGATGAAAAGGCGCTCGATTTGAGGTGATTATAATCATCGTTTCGGACGATATTGTCACTTGCTATTTGTCATGTCTGAAGTTCCAAAGAGATTATAAAGATTTTCAAGATACGATATGATCTTAGTAACGCTGATGGTAGCTACAGGCTCAGCCTGACTTGACCATGTCGGCTCTTGTTTAGTTGAAGACGACGCACCGTATTGCAAGGTCAGTGACGTAAAGATGAGTTGCAGCCCGCAGGGCAGATATACCTATACCTTTAGATTGCAGCCGGTGTCACTTCTAAATATATATATATAGAAAATAGATCTTATTTATCTGTTATACTATAGGTGGGAAATTCCGATGCGCGTCCCAGATTTAAGTAGCATATGCACAAATCTCTGCGTCGCTTAGCACATGTCGCATGATTTGAATGATCATGGCCGCAACTATCATTTAAATTTGTATGTTTTTATATGTCAACAGATCTCCTGATCCCTCCTTAGTCCCCCAAAAAAAAGGGGCAACCCACAAAACAAAAAAACAAAAAAAAAAATAAAAAAAAAAAATAGGGAATTAACAACAACGAGGGACGAAACCCTTTTTTAAATTATGCAAATAGGTCAAAAAAGGCCCTTTAGCGCTAGAAAACTCCCATGTCTAAGCGATATACCTTGAAGTGAAATAAGGCTCTATATAGGTGTGGGTGGGTGGGGGAAAAAAAAAAAGGGCTTAAAAAAAAAAAAAAAAAAAAAAAAAAATATAAAAAGGAAAAAAAAATGTTTTTTTTAGCACGTTCTGAATACTTATCTCCAACCCCTTATCGGGGTATTAATAGAGATATTAATAAGGGTATTAATACGAATGGCTGATTAAATAGCTATTAATGTTATAGTCTTATAATAAACTTAACTTAACTCATAGTCTTACTATTGCGATTAATGCTCGTAAATAGTAAAGCTATATATAAAATAACGTATGTATAAGTAGATATGTAGATAGATAATTGGATATATCTAACACTGGGGTAGCTAAGACCTTTTTAAATATGCAAATAATCTAAAAAAGGCTCCTTAGCGCTAGAAAACTCTCAAATCTAAGACGTTATTTAAAGAGGGTGAAGGTCTTAAGGAGAACTTCTAATAGTATCTACCGCAGTAAGTAATAGAGATCGATAGCACTAGCGCGAATAGACTAAAAGGTGCTGATATCGTAGTGATGCTCTAAGTATATAGACTAGGTGAGTGACTATATATAGGCGATAGAAATCTAACTTCTAACGGCCTAGTAATTAGATCTCGTTATTACTAAGATCGATATTACGTGCTAATATTATAACCTCTTTATAGAAGAAATAGTCTAAATAATAACCCTTAATATCAAATAACGTTAGTACCTCGCGAAGGTTATTAGTAACGATCTCTTTAGTAAAGAAGAAGCCCCTTAGCTAGAATAGCGGTATATTAAATAAGACTTCTTATTTAAAGAGATAATGTAAGGCTTTAATTACGTATGCGTTATTATCTAACGCGACTATCGTAAGTATAATTCTATAGCGAAATAGATCTATTTTAAATACTAAAAGTGTAAGTTTTAGATAATTATCGAATAGCTTTATCGAGCGATATATAAAGAATTATTTATCGAAGTCCTTCTATTAAAGATCTCACTTATTATAAATAAATTTATTTATATATAGAAATACCGCGAAGGCGAGATAAAAGAATATATATAGAGTCGCTCTAGCATAGGTTAATTTATTAAAATAAGAAAGAATTTAAAGTAATAAATTCTTAATAATTAAATATCTTTCTTTTATATTAGCTTCGCTATAAAAACGTTAACTACTTATAATAATACGTTATAATTAAGAATAATAAAATATTAAGAGATTATCGAATTCTATATCTATATAGACTAATCTAAGGTTAATAAGATATATTTTTATAGACTTCGACTTAACGCGGCGAGTATTTAGATTAGCAATTTAGCTTATAAGAGTATTTATAATTATTAAAAAAAGAGGTTAAATCTCTATAAGTGCGTAATAAATCGTATAAAATCTTATTAAAGTTATATATATCTTTCTAATTTTAATAGTAAGCCTCTATTAGAGAAGTCGTATAGTCTCTTAAAATAGTATAATCTAATTATATTAATATTCTAATAAATCCCGCCCTATTTTAGCGAAGATATAAGACCTTTCAGCTATAGATATATATTAGCGATTTTTCGATATTAAAAATATAATAGATTATCGACTAGCTAATTAGCCTTCGTAGATATTTAAATAAATATTATTATAATATTATAAGTAGTTATTAGTATAGTTATATCGCGTAATAGAACTATAGCTAACTCGTATATAAAGGATTTACGTAATTTATTAACGTATACGTCGTTATCGCAGTAGAGAATTAAGCGAGATTCTTATAATTAATATAATTATAGCTTTATCGCGTAATAGATAGCCTTTATTTCTTTAAATTATATATTTTTAAAACGGTAACGTATAGCTATTTTAATATTAAAAACGTTTTTAAGCTAAATCGATTGAATATAATTAGAATAGTCGAGAATATAATCTTCTATATCGAATATTCTAGACGCATTAATCTATATATGCTATGTGACTCGACTATTAACGTAGTATATTAAGGCGACGCTATTCTAGTACTTTAAGAAGATATTCTACTATAATAAGTCTACTCTTATATCGTCTATAATTCGTATAATTACCGTAAGCCTTCGAAGGATATTAAAAAGTCGCTTTAAGAATGCTCTTTTTGGAATTATGACTTTAATAGCGAAAGAGAGAAAGCTAATCGCTGACTCGAGCTTCTAATATAAGATAGTTACTCTTTTTAGAAGGTTTTTAACCGTGATTCTTATCTTAGCTACTGGCCGAAAAGGTATGATATAATATGAAATATTAACCTACCATATTATACTCTAATATAATATGAGTTATTAAGATTTATATGATTCCATACCTAGTATAGTATGAAATCTTAGCGGGATATTTTACGGTATGATATATCTGTAGTATTATATCATGAAATAATATATGTATAAGATATTTCGGTTGAGATTTCTATATTTAGAAGTAAATATTCTAATTATCATTCTAATTAATAGCTACGCTAAATTAATAAGATATAAAATTAAATGCGATTATATTTTATTACTCTATATATATAAAAGAAAGCGAGTTATATCTATTAATAATAAGAAAAGCTTATCTTTCTCTAGTATTAGTTATATGAAATTCGTTAACACTTCGTAATTAAAGCTATCGACGATAATTTTATACGTTTATTACGTATTTTCGATATCGCTATCTAGTATAAAATTATATGTATTATAATTATAGCCTTTCTATTAAATCGCCGATCTAGGAAAATTAATATATTTCTTAGTATTCTCTCGAAAGTATCATAGCTTAATATGATAAGTTATATTCCTTTAAGCTATCTTCTCGTAATATATAAAAAAAAGATTAGATATAGAAAGTATATAAAAGTATATTTAATAATTCTAGAATAAATTAATAATACTTATAATGATAATTAGAATTAAGAATTAAATATATTTAAATAAAAGATAGTTTTATATTACTTATATAATAGCGATAGTAGTAGCTAAAGTTAAAATATTAATTTAAATAGCGTAACTTTTGTAGTAGACTTTTCATTACTATACATTAGATTAATTATATATAAATAAAGATTTATAATTTTATCTTCTAGACGTAATTATATTTAATATTTTAAGATTTCTATAATAGCTTAATACTTATTAATTAGCGCGTTAATATTATTATATCTAAACTATAATAGCGCTTATCGTTAAGTTTTATATTACACTCTCGAGTAGCTTAAAAAATAAGATCTATTTAATTATTAGCGCGTATAGTAAGATTATTCTTAATACTTATATCTTATTTAGCTTTAATATTATTTATTTTCTTTTAATTCGAACTCTCGTCTTTATTTATATATATAATAATTTACGTAATAAGTAAAATTTTAGACTTCTTCGCAATTACGCTCGCGTGTTTTTCTTATATAATATTATTAAAATATAAGTCTACTAGAACGATAACTAGAACTAGAGATTACTTATTACTTATCTATTATATCTTATCTAATTTACTTAAAAGCTTATTTCTATTATAATAACGATATATTAATATATTTAATTTTATACTTTTTAATAATTATAGCGTAGTTAATAGCTAAGATATCGACTTTCTTTACTTTTTTAACTAGTTTCTTCTTAGATATAAATATATCTATTCGCTATCGCGATCTCTTAATATTTTTATTTTAATTAAACTTATTCTTTACTTTTTATTTTAATTAAAAATTTAATTATCGTTTAATTAACCTACGTTGAGACTCTTTAATATCGCTATTATTATTAATATTTAATACTTATTATAATAAATTATTAGACTTAATCTCTTCTACTTTAATTACTATAAAAAGATAAATTAATAGATATATATAAAAGAATTAAAGGGCTTATACGAATATCTATAAATACTAAGTTATTCTTAATTTTAATTAAAGCTTATTTTACTAAAAAGTGCGTTAATTCTAGCAAGTACCGATATTAGAAATAAAGAGAATATATATTATATACTATTATAAGTGTGTTATTATAGAGTTTAATTTAAAAAATAATTATTTTTATAAAGATAGTAAGACTTAAAAATAAGAAAGTAAAAATGAAATACGCGAAAATTTTAATAAGTTATAATAGTTTAACGCTAGCTAAATTAGATAAAGATAATTACT